ATGGGCCAGCGGCGGGACCAGGCAGAGCCCGGCGTTGCCGCACCGGCAACGCCGGGCTCTGCCTGTACCGGTCGCACTCCATCCGGTGGAGCAGAAGGGACTGGATTTGTGAATGGCACCGGTCCAACTGGTACCACAGAATTGGTGACGCTTGTCGCCTCTGTGGTGGGTGGCGCTCCACTGGCGGAGACTGGTAGTGTCGTTCGTCTCCCTGCGGGCTAGTCCTCCGAAGCGACGGCCGAGGGTGCAAGCCAGGTCCCGGGGTGAGGCCTGACATGGTCGGCGTGCCGGTGCCGGGTGGTCCCGTCGGGCATGCGGACGAGTAGCGATGAGGCACTTGCTGGAGAAACCACATGTCCGGCAGACCAGGGTGGGCCAGGACGGAAGTTCCTGGCGTAGACCGACGCTCCGGCAAAGGCCCAGGACGGCACCCTCGGTCAGCAGCCAGCTTCTGCTTTAGCTGCTTCAGGAGCGCCGTAGATCGGAGGTCTGGATGCGAGACGTCCAAGGGTGTCTTAACCATCCGGCCCAGCAGAAGCTCGCAGGGGGCACGGCCAGTGACCTCATGGGGTGTGGTCCGGTACTGGAACAGTACCTGGGCCACCTGCATCCGGAAATCCCTGGGCTGGCTCTTCTTGAGCTTGTTCTTGATGGTCTGTACCACCCGCTCGGCTGCACCATTGGAAGCGGGGTGTACGGAGGAACCAGCATCCGGCGGATCCCATTCTTCTGCAGCCAGTCCAGGTACTCGGCGCTGGCAAAAGCGGGACCATTGTCGGACACAATAATGTCCGGCAATCCCTGCGCCGCGAAGACCTGCCGCAGCGCCGCAATGGTCGCGCTTGCTGATGGAGTAGTGACTGGCAGTGCCTCCACCCACTTGGAGAAGGTGTCCACTACCACCAGCAAGTAGTGGCCCTTGAAGGGTCCCGCAAAATCAATGTGCAGGCGGGACCAGGGCCTCTGTGGGAACGGCCAGGGGGTGATCTCCACGTGGCGTGAGGCTCGCTGATTCTCCTGGCAGACCTGGCAGCCTTGCATCTGGTGCGCGATGTCCTGGTCCAGGCCAGGCCACCAAACGTGCGACCGTGCCGAAGGCGGCCACTGACGGGTGGACTGGAGGGGGCACTACATACTTGTTACAGGTTCTATTATTCCTTGTTCTTCCAAGCAATCCAGTTCATTCAGCACAGAATGCCGGATAGCGAATGGAACTGGACAGCACTTCAGGAACTTGGGTGGAGCATCCGGCTGCACTGGAGTAGATATGGGTGACCCTTTATGACGGTACTGCAGTTCGGTGAAAACATCTTGGTATCTATCCAAGACGTTCTGCAGTGAGGTGGAGGTCTTGGCATTCACTCCAGAGAGGGGAATGTCCAATTGTGCACCAGTCCCTGCCAAGGAGACTTGCTCCTTGTCCTTTATGACATATAGAATGAGTTTGACTGTTTGCGTTCTAGCGACGGTTGTTTTCAGGACGTTTACCTGAATTTTGCCGAGAACTGGCAGCCTTTGTCCTGATCAAGTGTACACTTGCTTCTCTTCAGACTGCAGTTTCGCTGTTCCTTTAGACCATACTAGTCTGCGAAAGGTTAGTCTTACGTCACTGATGAGCATGAGTGCAGCTCTCGAGTCGACTTCCGTTTGCAAGGTTCTACCGTCGATGGTCACGGTAATCTAAAAATGGGGTCGACTTGGTGGTCTCTCGTATGTTTCGTACAGGGTGTATAGTTCTGCATCATAGTCAGCACTCGACTCACTCACTTGATGAGTCTTCTTGTTTGGTCCTTGTCTCTTCTTTGAGATGCAAGCCTTCTCAAGATGACCAATCTTTTTGCAGTAATAGCAGGTACTCTTCAGCAGCGACAGTCCTCCGGTCATGATTGTTGTTGTTGCACCTGTAGCAACGATTTCGGACCCAGTTTTTCGGCTTTGCCGTTGGTCCAGCATTGCATTGTTTGGAAGAGTTTTGATAGATCTTGTCAACATCGTCTCTCATTTTTGATTGACGGGTTGTTGTTGATTCCATTGCCTTAGTCAAGTCAAACCCTTTCTGTAAAGTAACGGTTCTTTTGGAAAGTAATCGTTGCTGGAGGTGAACGTCTCCAAGGCCACATATGAAGTGGTCGTGTAGCGTAACTTCTAATGGAAGAACTGTCGATGTTACTAAATGTGCCACCGATGCTTGCTGCATGGTGCTCCTGGCGCCACTTGCCGACTTTTGGGTAGTGGAGCCGCTCGGCGCTTGTGCGGTTGTCATGGCAGCTAGGTGCTACGGTCATGACCGTTGTTGTGCCGAAGTTGCAATCTTTTGCCAGAACTCGCAGAGCATCGACGTATTCAAGAATGGTTAATTTCGTAAGGCTCCCAATCCCATTTGTGAAATCACCATCTCTCGAGTAGTTCTGGATAGACGTTGCATAATGTTGTTGTAGGAGACCTCAGGTGGCACTTGTGGGTGAAGTAAACCGCGAACCTTACCGTAGGTTTCCTTCCTACATAGGCTAAAGAGTAGCGCTCGCTTCTTTGACGGCTCTGTGACGTCGTTAGCCTCGAAATAGAATTCGAGCCATTCCTTCCAGGACGTCCAACTTGTACCAGGAGTTTAGTCTGGAACTCGACCTTGCTGAACCATCCAGGTTTATCCTCGTCGCCAGTGTTACGTGGTGGCCTATTTACATATTAGGTCTGTTCGATTCGGCTAGAAAGTTCTGAACTAGTTCTGTCCGAGTTCAGAGGAGTGCAGGAGTCGTGCAGCGGCGGCGCAGAACCAGTGCAGCCACCGCGTTAGGACTGGCGCTGTGATCGACTTCCGGAGTACCGATAAAACGGATGCGCAAGACGTCGTCTGCTTTTGCCGTCTGGCTGCGTCGCCATGGAATTTTGTCTGCTAGCGCTTGGATATTTGCGTTAGTTTTATATTACTTTTTTTTTACAAAAATATTTTTCATGTATGTTTCTTTACATTACAAAGTGCGTGCAGCATCTAATGAAACATGTCTGCATTTTATATCGTCTGATTTCGTGCTGCGATCGCTTTCATAGACATTTCATCGACCACGTACCTGGATACCTTCGCGAGATCAAGATGACGATGTCCCGTCAGAATTTACTGGCCGCTGCAGTAGCGCTCATCGAAGACGAGAGCGACGATGAGCTCGACGACATCATCGCCCTCGCCTCGATTGTTTCGGCACGGACTGACAGGAACAGGGTTCCCCTGTACTACGAAAAGGTGATCGACACCTACTTCGATTTCGAATTTATGCGCTTGTTCAGGCTTTCGAGAGAGACACACGCGGAGCTGGCTGGTCGATATGAAGCTTCGGCGTTTTACCCGGATTCCGTTGGTGGACGACCGCAGATTTCGGCGGAGAAGACATTGCTGATTGTGCTTAGTTACGTAGGCACGAGAGCCACAATGTACCAGATTGCGGATCGCTTTGACATAACGGAGTCGTCCGTTCACCTCTGCATTGAAAGAGTTCTGAACTTTCTGAACAGTATCAGCGCACAAATAATCACCTGGCCTGACCAGGAAAGACGTCGGAGGAGCCAAGCCGGCTTCCTGAGGAAGACTAAGGGGAAAGGGCCCCACAAAACGATCGGGGCGATTGATGGATGCCATGTAGAAATCCTGCGACCAACAGAGTCTCCGAACTCCTACTACAATCGGAGCAAGTTTCATTCCATTGTCCTGCAGGGTATCTGCGATGATCAAAATCAATTCATCGACGTCTACATCGGGTTCCCCGGTTCAGCGCACGACGCCCGCATCCTGAAGGAGAGCCCCATCTTCGAGGACGCGGAAGCCAAGTGTGCGGGTGGGTACCTGCTGGGGGATTCGGCTTATCCCCTGCTGCCATACGTCATGACCCCCTTCAAGTCTTCAAAAGCGGCCCTGCCGTCCTGGAAGACTACGTATAACACGAAGCACGGTCAACAGAGAGTGACAATCGAAAATACTTTCGGGCTGCTCAAGCAGCGATTTCGGAGAATGTACTTGGTCGACAGCGCCAGCATCAGACAGTGCTGCCTTGTCGTTATGGGCGCCTGCGTTCTCCACAACCTCTGTAATGCAGAGAGAGACTTTTTCGATGACCTGAACAACGCCCGCCCGCCTGACCAAGTCACCAACGACGACGACCACGCGATCCAACCGGACGACGCCACAAGGAGTCTCTCTGAGCAGATCCGAGAGGCCATTGCTAAGACCGAATGTTAGGAAGCGATATCTACACCTGATCCTCCAAAAATATTCTTTTTTTTTTATTTTGTGTGTGTGTGTGTGCGTGTGTGTGAACATACAAAGATGGTACTTGAGCTTTGGAAAATGAAGCGTACCGACTTCATGAAAACACGATTAAACAAAGTAACGGGTTACTTCGTTCCTTCATTTCTGCGTACAGTATTATTTTGATCCAATATCCTAGTACGTTCGTATACCAGAATACATATATGCGGGCATGCACAGGTAGTCAGTGCCAGTGACTCCTAAAACGTAACATTGTTCCTAAAGCTATTTTCAACCTAACAATCAACAAAACCTAGAATAAAAAAAAAAAAAAAAACTAGATATGGCGGTAAAAAAAATACATGCTGCAAAACTCGGAAATAATTGTAAAAACTAAGAATGAATCGTGGGACTACAGAGGAGTGGCAAACAAAATCAGCAAGACAATTTGAACGAATTTATTCGTACGGCACATTTGTGCACCAGTCAAAATAATAACAAAAGAATAAATAAAACGGCCTGCGAAACAGTGAAACTGTAATCAAGTTCATTGAGGTGCATGAAGCACGTCTACTGTGCCGGCCCGCTCTTTTCGATTGCAGTCACGAGGCGCTCGAGAAGAGCCATCCGGTCCTTATGTCGTTTCTTGCGACTCTCCTCCATGTCGGCGAACACCTTGAGCAGCGAGCCCAGGACGGTTTCCCTCTTTCGCTTGCTCGGTGTACCGGCCGGAGCACGCTGGTTTGAGGGCGGAGCCAACCCTAAGGCAAGGGAGGAGGGTCCTGCCTCTGTCCCTCGGGAGGTTTCAACCTCGGCGCTGAAACATTTTTTTTTTTTTTTATGTTACGTTGATTATACGTTTCTTAAGTACTTACCTGGTGTCTCCTTCCTTTTCAAGCACTCTTCCCGGCGCCAACAACACAGTTGGTGAAATATGGTGCTCTTTCTCGAGGATGTCATGAAGCTCGCTAAACCACAGAAACAGCACGTTTACAAGTGATGACCTATATAAAAAAATTAGTGAACGTACGTACTCCTCGTATTCAAAATGCACCCTAGAGTGGCCCGACTTGTTGTTTTTCGATTTGGCGTTCTTGTACGCTCTCTCCAAGGACTTCCATTTGTTTTCGGCCTGGTCAGCGGTGACAACGCCGCCGAACTCTCCGACGACGGTGTCGGCCAGCTGCTGCCAAAGGGCTCGTTTGGTCCTAAACATGATGTTTACTACGTATTAGCATGTATTATAAAATATATCCTGACAAAGACACACCTGAAACCCCCCTTTGCTCTCAGACGCTCTTTTAGTTCCTTATAACAGCCGATAAAGAACTTCGTCTTCGCGGCACTCCACAGCTGCCCGTCGACGTCCGTTGTGGGTGGACGCGCAGGCTGCAGGACAGTTGGGTCTGCGTCCGGCTCAGAGGCAAAGACGAGCGTAACTCGTTCTCCGTCTTAAAGAATAGAATGCGAACATTGTAAACATCGATGTATAATCGCGACGTGAATGACTGGCTTAAGCAAGTCATTCACGAAACGTAAGCAAGGCTGCGTAAGCAAGCCGACGCAGCCCTCTTACGATTTTTAACGTATTTAATTCGAGCTTATTCCTACCTTCGGTAACGTACACCATCCCGCTTCCGTCCACTACGGGCACACCATTTTCGTCCACAAGTGGGAAGACTTCCGTTTCTACGTTGTTGTGTATAACAAACATGCTTTAATGACCGAGCACAGCGAGCAAAAAAGAGAAGAGTCGTCTGCTTTCGTCGTCTGCTTTCGTCGTCTGCTACTGCACGAACGCTGAACTGGCTTCGGGGCCGGTGCAAGCATTTCCGGAACTGGGACTGAACTCGTTCAGAACTAGGATGAATCGAACGCGCCAGTGCAGCGGTCGTGCAATTTCCGGTTGAATCGAATGCGCCAGTTCTTGCACTGCTGAACTAGTTCAGCCAGTTCAGGCGAATCGAACAGACCTATTATTTATGAGCGAAGACTGCAAGAGATTGGTGGTGAGTTACGAGCCCTGTGAACATGTCGCTAGCTTGATCAGGAACAGTGCGTGGGGCGCGGCCCCAGATGAGGCCGCACGTCGTGGCACTTGCTGAATGAAGACGACGAAGTGTGACGTTGCGTGTGACGTCATCATAGGAAACATGTGACATATGACATCATGTGATGTGTGACGTCACACGCATCTAACATTGCCAATATTTATTTATTTATTCATCATTGTCCTGCAACGCCATCAGGCATTATCGCAAGGGGCGAATAAACTTGAAAAAAAACATTTCTGAATTCGCGGCACACACAATTGCACTGGGCAAGGCATTCCGCTCCTTAATTGTTTTAACAAGAAAAGAATTTTTGCCCAATTCCGTCCTGGTGCGATATTCTCTAATCTTATGAATGTGGTCTTTTCTTTTTGAGATATAATTTGGTGGTAATAAGTAAAATGAGCTATTAATGCCAGTTTTATTGTTATAAACGTTGTATAAAAACTTCAAGTGCAAATTTCTTCGTCTTAATGCCAATGTAGACCATCCCAGTTCTTTTATCATGTCGGTTACACACTCAAAACAGCCGTACCGCACCAAAACGAAACGAGCGGCACAACTCTGAATTCTTTCTAAAGCAACAATGTGGTTTTGCTGAGAAGGATCCCAAACGGTGCAGGCGTACTCTAGCACCGGGCTTACATAAGACAGATAGGCAAGCTCTTTGATAGATTTAGTTGATTTCCTTAAATTTCGTTTTAAAAATCCAAGCGCTTTGCCAGCCCTCATAACAACGTCGTTAATGTGTGCGTTCCAGGTGCACTCAGCTGATAGAGTGACGCCAAGATATTTAACTGTTTGCTGTTTTGTTACGGTTTCATTATTCAGTTGGTAACATGTTTCAACTCTTGTTTTGGTTTTGCGGGTAAAACTAACCTGGGCACATTTTTTAACGTTTAACTCCATCTTCCACTTTTTACACCATTGCTCTATTCGATTCAGATCACACTGCAGCCGCGTGGAACTCCCGTCGTCTGTTATGCATGTATAAACAACACAATCATCTGCAAACAATCGTACCTGTGAATTAACACCGTCATTAATATCATTAACAAATATTAGAAACAACAATGGACCGAAAACAGACCCTTGCAATACACCAGATGTTACCGTAACAGTATTTGAAGTTTTACCATTTAAAACAACACGCTGAAGACATGATGACAAATATGCTTTTATCCAATTTAGAATGGTCGTGTCAAAATTCATGCGCTCTAATTTGTATAATAGTTTATGTGACACCGTATCGAACGCTTTTTTATAATCTAAGAAAACACAAGCAATCTGTCCACCTCCGTCAACCCCCGTCATCAAATCATGATAAAGCTCAGTTAGTTGTGTAGTACATGAGTACGCCTTTTGGAACCCATGTTGTGAGTCAAAGAAAAAATTATGACAGTTTAATTGCTTCATGATGTGACAATATAAAACATGTTCCAGTAATTTACAACATATAGATGTCAGTGAGATCGGTCTGTAATTCGTAATTTCTTTTTTGGGCCCTTTTTTGTGCACAGGCACCACGTGTGCCACTTTCCAGTCGTCTGGCAATGAACCATCATTCAACGATTTGTTATATAGGTATTACAAAAAGGTACGGAGCAATCGCATCTGCACAACATTTTAAAATTCTCGGAGAGATCCCACCTGGGTCTACTGCCTTAGCTTCATCTATATGTTTTAGAAGTTCTAACACACCTCCTATAGCAAGTTCAACTGGTGGCATTGCACTGAACGTACCCTGGCATCTATCGTAGTCGATGCTCTCAGGAGGCAAGAAAACTGATTGCAAATATTGATGGAAGGCTTTGGCTTTTTGCCAGTCATCTGTAATTATTACGTTGTTAACCATCACATCTCCTATCCCAATCTGATCATTACCACAGTGCCTCATGTACTTCCAGAACTGTTTGTTGTTTGCTTTCACCCCGTCCTCCTGCTAAATTTAGGGGGGAAATTTATCCGCTAAATTTGGTGGGAAAATATTCCCGCTAAAGTTACCCTCGTGACGTCACGTGTGATGACACGTGTGACATCACACGTGACGTTACTAAGGTAAAATTTTCCCACTAAATTTAGCGGAAAACTTTCCCCGCTAAGTTTAGCGGGGAAGGAAGAGGGGCATACTGTCCCCTCCACACCCCCCCCTCCTCCTCCTCAAGAGCTGCTCTCTAATTCGGCGTTACAGAAAATTGTAAATGTCAAATTTTTACATCACCTTCTGGGAGCCGGCGCAGGGCATGGAATGTATACAACTGGTGCGTCAGCGTTCGGCTGGAACTTGCACTCAACTGGCGAGGACACGAGTTTCAGCTGGACGATGACACAGCACTCATCTGACGTCCATCCTTACAAGAGTGCGTTACTGGAAACTGATAGGATTTGGCCACCCATTCTTCCTTGAGAGGAGGATGGAAAGCATTGCTGTGTAGATCCTTTCTTTCACTCCTTCTTCTTTTCTCCCCCTGAGTATCCTCGCAAGGAAAACTAGATTAGTTGTTTGTGGCGCTTTGTCTTTTCCACTGGTTCACTTTTTACAATTTGTTTCGTAGGAACATGAAGCATTCACAGCAGCTGTAAGGTGATTTGAAAAATGATTAAATGAAGACTGTCAAATTGGCACAGTCCTTTCATTGATTTTTTGTAAGCTGTCTGTTGTAACCTATAGTCTGTTAGATGGGTGCTCAACTTTATCGCAGGGTGTGGAGTATGTTGAACAAACTAGTTATGGGGCAGGGTTGATGTGTTTGTGTTGGGGGTGTGTTCTGGTGACGTGATTCAGTTCTTGAGAACTATCGTTAATTGTGCGTCATCTTTCTTGCCGTGCAAGGCCTGGCCGCTCGCGGAGGAAATGAGCTGGTGACCCTGTCCCTCGCCACCCCCCGCCAAGCTATGGCGTTTTAGTGCAACCGGTGACTTCGAGGCCTCCGCGGTGTACTCTCCGCTCCAGCCTGCCGCTCCGGCCGGCTCCAAGTGCAGGTTTCTCGACGTTCACGGAGACTTCGCATTTGTGGCAGATCTCGGTATGTCGCACTCACTGTTGCCTGCTTGTATGCCTACTTCAGAGTTGTCAATGCTCTACATGAGCCTATAATGTACTTTGAATGAATAAATAAATAAATAAATAAATGTGTAACTTAAAAAAACACTAAATCGGAAAAAGCTTTTTTTTTTCTACCTGGTAAGAACAGGCATGTTTCAAAATAAATCTGTTGAAAATAAATCCAGTGTGCGCTCCAGCGAACTCGGAGCGCACACTGGTTGGGTGCAAACACTATCATCATCCCACAGGGGTTCAATTTTGTTCTTTCCCGCAAACCGAAGATGTCGTATTGTAGCATAAATATTGGGGAAAAAAATTTCTTTTGACAAACATTTATTTTGAGACATGCATGTCCTAACCAGGTATAAAAGTGTTGTTTTTTTTTGTTCCAAGGTTCAGTGTTTTTTCCAGCCTTCCAAGAAAAAGGCAAAGTTTCTCAATTGAAGGACAACTTGCCTCAAGGTTTGGACCAGGACAAAGAGTCGAGATTGCTTTCGTGAACCAAGTGGTGATAACTGTTATACTTACACTAGGTCAAATTAGCTCGAGATCTCTACTAGAATTTGTATCAAGAAACTACTAGCATTATTTAAATGCTGGCTTCCAGTGTTTCAGCTGCTGCCAAAGTCAGACCAGGTGAAGTTTCATAATTTTTGTGTAGCCCACCTTACTTGCCCGTTACAATCTAAGGGCGAATTCGCGTGGTCAATCGTCGGCAACTTATTTTGCCGGAAAGCCGGCAATATTGTTCGCGTGGTCAGTTTCCAGCCGGCACACACCGTTCGGGTGGTGGTTCTCCGGCAGGCACCGGCAACTTTCCGGCGCTTTTTCCGCCCGAGCTCCGAACGGCCGGGCGAGTGGGCGCCAGACTGTATCCGGTGTCGTCACTTCCGAAATGAGAGAGAAGGTCGGTGAGAAAAAAATGAACGAAAGAACGAAACTGATCTGAAGTAACTTTAGCAGCCGCTACGAAAGTCAATCCAAGTCGTTGGGACATGAGTGACGGCGGCGACAGGCTCTCGCTAGCGGTGTCGCGCGGGCAAGAGGCGAAGTAAACTGCCACCGTCTGGCGTTTCGTGTTCGGGTGGCGAGGGTCACGTGGTGTGCCGCCGGCACGTTTCTGGTTGCCGGTTCCGCCGGCTCGTTCTCGCCGGCAACTGACCACCCGAATTCGCCATAAGACAACTGTTGGAACTGTTTTCTGGTCGAGCTTGTGGTTTCAGTTTAATTCCAGCTATCTAGCTGTTTATACCCTGTTTCATGAAAGTTATACCCTATAATTAAAGAAGGTTGCCTATGTATGCAAAAAGTGGTTGTAACCCCTGAAATCTAGAAATCTTATACAAGTGTCCTCTTATGCTTGATTACTTTGGTTTCCTAACAATGTTTTGTTTTATGTTTTTTTTTGTTTTTGTTTTTTTTAATTAAAAATGCACTTTCTTTACTCAGGCGTATAGGTAATTTGTTTTTACTTCTCATTTATGGCAGGGCTAAGCCACATGTACAAGACCAACATGAACGGTGAGGGGACCAGCATATTTGGCAAGAAGGGCAAAGAACCAGGTGCCTTTTGCGAACCTTCCGGAATCTCTGCATCCGATAAGGGCCTCTTCATAGGGGACAGCAAGAACAACCGCATTCAGGTGGGGGTCGCAGGTGTTGCACAAATCGACGTGCCATGCACCGTTTCCCAACTTTCCGTAAAGGTATACCACACTGTGAATAGGTTTTTCTTATTATTCTTGTTGGAAGTCTTTGCCTTTGTCGTCAACATTTTTTTCCGGTGAGAGTAATGTATAGGTTCTAGAAGTCGTGGACAGCCGTTGCAAGGATTAACACACTGCTGTTCTTGTCTGCACAGTAAAAAAAAAAACCAACCAGTAGGTTCCACACCCCTAATTCTCTAGTAGTACTCCTGTTGATGTACTGTTCAGAGTTCCTCAGAGGTTGCGAATTTGCCAAGTTGGGGGGGGGGGGGGGGGGCAGTTGTAGATGTCGGTTAAATAGGCTAGGCTTTGGTACGTCCCTGTGCATCGATTGGTCACTTGTCAATCTGGTTTCCTGCATAAATTCAGTTTGACACCCCTACTCTGGATGAAAGATTTACAGTGAGATATTGGACTTTCAGTGTACCACTTCAAAAATATCTGGAAAAAATTATGAACAGTGAAAAATTCACCTGTCTGCTCTCTTCTCACTTTTGACTAGAGGCCAAAGATACAAGCTGCCAATGCCATTCTCCTAACTTGTCACATAAGGATTTGAGTATAACCAGAGGAGTCCTCCAAGGCACAGGATTGGAAAGGTCATCTCATCGCTTTTGCTTCCAGTGGGAGGAAAGGCTTAGCAATGTATATACATGGGGTGTACAAAACAGGGGGGCTGAATTTAAAATGAACCGGAAAAACCGGCATCTGCACATAGCATTCATGCAGATGAATACTACACACTCCCGGTAGTTGACCTATGCACCCAAAGACACCGGGAGATTCACTCAGTATTCCTTCAGATTGTTTTGTCAGCGCTGCACCAGTTGTTGCCTGAGAATCCACTTCAGGGTGCTTTACTTGTCACAGTAGGCCGAACACTGTGCAAGCAGCAGCTTCCTTTTTGTATTTATTTTTGCAGAAAAGCTGACAAACTGACAAAATTTTAACAGCTGTAGTTCATACGGCCTTACCGACCAGGTGATGAAGTTTACCTCTGTAGGTGGCACCATCTTTTGCAGAATTTTAGCAACTCTGGGTCTATCTGCGGGCGCAATCATGGGATCCGATTTTGAGCTTGAATCTCTAAGTGCCCTGCTGAACTTTCAGCACTCGTGTTAAATATTTCGGCGACATGGCCTGCCCAAAGTTTCCCTTTTTGTTCACCAGCTATACTGACTTGCAGCCGACTGAGGCACCTTCTGTTCGCAGCTATCTTGGGGCTGTAGGCTGGGCATTTTTGGGGAGGGTACTATGTTGTCTCACAGCTTAAGCATTTTCACAATGTCATCTTGGTCGCCTGAGAAGTCCTCTTGACATGTTCTGGATGCCCAGACTGCCTTGCTGCTTTTTGGCCTTGCCTGTGAATAGCACTTGCTTCTGCTGTGATTCCTTAGTTGCGAGATTTTTCACATGCTTCTTCGAGACCTTCACTACCTTGTGCAAATGAAGTTTTCTTCGAGGACAAATTTTGCTCCCAAAATAGGCAATTGCTCAGGGCTACGTTGCGAATACCGACTATATTTCAGTTGCAGACCGGTTTTTCAGACTCTGAGGGGACCTTGAAATTGTCCGAATAATCAAGCTGTCCGAAAAATCGATTTCAGCAAAGTATCAAATTTCCTGGAGGACAAATGAAGACAATTCATAGGTGTTTCTTCTCAAATACAGAACCGCTTCAGTTTCCCTTTAACAGTGTCTGGAGCTCGCCATGTGCTCTGTGCTTTGCCAACCCTAGTGCATGGCTATGATGAGCATTAGTGCCACAAATTGGCACTAGCCCATGTCGCTGTTTATTCTGACTTCCAGTAGGGGGGTGAATGGTGCTAGCTTTTTTTCTGCAGCAGCCATTGCGTGAAGAGAAAAACTAACGCATGTTTCGTAGGTTATAAATAGGGTGTGTATTTTCCGGTTTTAACCGAAAAACACCGATAAACATCCGTCGGCGACGAAAATATAAAATCGGTTAAAACCGAAAAACACCGGTGGTTGGATCTTTTCGTTCTGGTTAAAACCGAAAAACACCGGTCGTGGCATGATTCCGACCTAGCGAAACTTTTTCCCCGCAGAGGTTCGTCAAACATGTTATCTCGTGGATCCTGCATCCTTCAAGTGTTTATACATGGCTTGCAGGTGGCGTCAGTCCGCCCTCCTTTCTGGGGGTCAAAAGCGTTTAGAGAACGCAGTGGAAGCTAAGCTCTCACACGCCTTTCCCCTATTGTGTCTCCCATGGCCCCCTTTTGTGGAAAAATTACCGCGGTGGAGGGTAGGCTCTCTCGTGCCCTTTCCCCATTATGTCTGGCCAAGTGATGTCGGTGCAAGCCCTGTATTCAGAGGTTGCTGTGGTTCCTGGAAGACACTGCCAACATCCGTGTCATACAGGAACGTGCGTTTTCATAATTGTGGGTTGTGAACCGCAAGGAACGTGCTGCCATGACGGATGCAAGCCTCTCAAAGTATGCTTGCATCTACTATAATAACCAAGTGTGAGAAATAGATGCTTCATAAAAAAGAAGTGTATGAAATATGTAAATAAAATTGGAACTCTCTGTGTGTAATCGATCGCATTTTTTTCCACCGATAATCACCGATTTTAGCCTTGTCGTGAGACGTTACACCGAAATACACCGGTGTTTTGAAAATAAATAAACACCGAAAAACATCCGCCGATTTTTCTCACAAATAAACACCGGAAAGTACACACCCTAGTTATAAACATCAAAGATAAATCCTAAGTGGTGCTTACTGAAAGCTCAGAAGTCGGTGTATTGCTCCTTTAAAACGTTTGAACTTGCGCTTGTGCAGATATAGGCACCAATAGTGCTTTAGAAATGCCATTTAATTTTGGAGGAGGTAATGCAGGTGATGAAGATGCTTTTTATTCCTTGTAGGAATCTCTCAATTTGTCTTTGTCTTCTATGTGTTGCAGAGCCATTTATTTTTATCAAAATTGCTTTTGATGATGCACGCATCATTGTCGAACAAGATCTTTTTTAATTTGCTGTGTCTTTTTTTAGAAGGGTAAGGTTCAGAAGGATAATTCATGTTTTTGTAATTGCACAGGCAAGGTGTTGATCAACTGGATGATTCCAGTCTAATTTTAGCTGTGGTTGCAGGTGTTTGACTTCGATGGAAACTTCATCAATGTGCTGAAGCTGTCTTCGCGCATCACCCGGCCTTCAGGAATCCACGTCTCTGACGCCAACAACAAGCTCTACGTCCTCAATTACCTGCACGGTGTCGTTGGAGTTTACAATCTCGTATTTAAAAGAACCAAGACGTAAGTCGCTGCATAGAGTGCAGAGTTTGAACAGGGTACCTTTCTTTTAATCAGGGAGATGTTCATCGAAAGCCAGGCTTAGCAGTCGGCTCTTGATATATACAGCATTGTACCAGTACTTCATCCTAGGTGCGGATTGGGAATCATATTGCAGTGTTCAAGGTGTATGTGCCTCAAGATTATTTAAGTGGTTCATCATGTTTTCCGTGAAACTTTGCAAATTTTTGCAAACTTTGTGATGTGATATTTTTACGAAATTTAATAGAAGTTATATAATGTTCAATCACACAATGGAGCTAAATAATTGACAATTTTCTGTCGATTATGTTGTAACTTATTAGTTCTTAGATGTTTTAAATATGTGCAATAACCATTTTGAACAACGAGTCGTGGCCTGTGCAAAGTAATAGACGCTTTCTGAAATTGAAGGATGCATACATTATGCACAGCCGCCTTCAGTTGGTCTCATCGCTTCCGGCGTAAAGCCCACGATTGCTTGTGAGTCTGCGCCAAGCACTAACTCGGCACTTGTGTGGAATGCGTTGCAATCCGAGCACACACCGAACGCTGATGAAGCGCTCGTGTCCAATCCGTGCTCATAGTGCATGACCAAGCGGCCGCACATGATCTATGCATCATTTTGGAATTTCGAAAAGGGTCTATACTACAGTCAGTTACAGGTTAAAAAAAGATTTTGAGGGAAAGTAAGGATGGGGAGCCGGAATCAGACTAAATGCTGAAGAGAGGAGGAGGTTTCCTCCTCTTTTCTCCAGCACTCTGCCTGCTTCCTCCTCATCAAATTTCCTTTCCCTCGAAAACTTTTCGTAAGCTGTGACTGACTATTGTGTACTAGTATATTAATTTTGGGCTCTGTCGACCTTATATTGTCTACGTCAACATTACTATGTCAACATTTGGCTATGTCAACATTACTATAACTTTTTTGTCGAGTCATCTTAGTCACCATCTATGTTCAGCTCCTATCAAGTCAAGGAGCAAATAAATTTCCTTTTGCTTTTGAACAGTCTTGACTTTTCTGCAATTACTATATTCTGTTGCAAGGTTTGAAATGTCTTGTTTCTGTGTTGAAGCATATATTTAATTAAATGCATTTAAACAGTAATGGGTGTAATTAAGAAATTTTCACACTACAATAATTTTTGAGAGCTGAGGGTGTGTGAAAATCTTCCACAGAAGTGTGTGTGTTCAAGTAATATGGAATTATTTTAATCCCTTTACATCTTAATCACTAGTAATTGAGGAGTTGTAGAGAGCCCTGCAAAGATGATAATCTTGGTGTCTGGTCTGCCGACCCTGCATTCACATCCAAACTGCATGCATATGGCACTATAGTTTTATGTTCATTCAGCCTGCAGTTTGAAATGTATTTGTTTATTTTAGACTTTAACATTGCTTTTTGGTGCACCTGTGCTCGTGCACTCTAAACACTCCCAAAACTCTGCACTGCACAACTTTACCTTTCATAATGCAACATTGTGTGGTGCATCATGTAAGCCATACCAGTGTAAAAACAAAACACTTGTCAAGTGTCCATGGGACATTGTTCAAGGGCTTGCAATCATACTGTAGAAAGATTGTGATTGGAACAATCTCCTGCGTTGAAGAGGATAACCAGCAGAGCTTTGTGAACTCTCAATTTATTCTGAAGCACTAATAGACCCTTTCCGAAATTCAGTCTGGCCACTTTGATCACTATCATCATCATCTGAAAAATGGCATATGTGCCATACCAATGGCGGCTTTCTATTTACTGATGAAGGAACATGTTGAAGATACTCCTAAGCTGAGGATTCAAGGCCTATACATTCTACACGTTAGCACGTTGCGAAACCGGAATTGAATGCAAGCGCTGCGTAAGTGTTCATTTCTCTAATTCGTGCCCAGGGAACCTGTTAGTGGCACAAAATCGACTTCGAAACCCCTTCTGTGTGGGTTGGCGCTTCATTCTGATTGCATCGTTGTGGGAATTGACACTGGAAGAGATGATCCAGAAAAACCTGCATAGCGAAAAGTTTATTCTCGTCTGCCGTTGACATGCAAAAGTGACGGTGCCCGATAAAATACTGCAGGCTACGGGTTCATTGCCGCCATTCGTATGGCAGAAGTTAAACCGCCATTTCAGCCACCAGATGGCACTGAATTTCGGAAAGGGTCTATTAATCAAAATATACTTTCGTTTTTAGAACATGGAGGAAAAGAAAGCCTAACCTGCAACAAAAATGGATAAACCCCACAGATGCTTTCATGCTCGCTATTTCTCCCACAACGTTCCTTGTTTCGTCCTTGCTGTTTTTCTTTCATAGTCGCTCGACTGTGTTGTTAAAGTGGCAATCTTTCTGAAAGCTCAGCAGATGAAAAAGAAAGTTATCTGGCCGATCTACGCATATTCACCGAATTTCTGACGATTTCAGCAGTCGCCTATCGTTGATTGCTGGCAAAATTACTGCAGCCATCTGCGGTGTTCCAAGCTGGTACAGGTATGGAGGCTAGGAGGGGGGGATGTGGTCATTGCATGGGTGAGAGCAGTCTGGTGATCCAAGTCTACCGAGGCAGCATAATTCGTATACAGAAATATAATTTCTTCTAGGGCTAGAAAAGTGGATCAGTTAGCGAATATGCGGGGGGGGAGGGGGGGGTGAAGTGAGTACTTTACATCACCATCCCACCATCTGTGTTGGTCCGCTGGGAGCTTTCTCACAACCTAACACTGGCCCCTGCCCTTGCCGCAAGCACTAGAAAGCCACAAGTCAACAACTAATTTGGGAATGTCTGGTGACAGCGTCTCGCTGCTCTGGCCCAGATACCAAACCCACGACACCGTCCCATTTCCTACGTGAAATTGGTTCATCCACCTGGCCAAGCGCAGTGCCAGACCAAGGCCTACCAAGCCTTTGTCTCCTTAAAGGGATACTACAACGAAATTTCGGCACTCATTTTTTGGTCTATATGTGTTCAAAGGAGCAGTATCACATCGAACATACCAATATATTGTTAAAAAAGTCTCGAAAAGGAATTTTAAAACGAATTAAACGATTAGCAAAGAGCACCTGGTGGATGTCGCTAACGCCTCGCTTGTAATGCCCGTCTAGGAACCTTGACAGCTAGTGACGATGAGTGTCTCGCCTCCGGCCACGACGAGAGAAGAGGGGAAGGAGGAACTCCCCTCTTCCCGAGAATGCCTTTTGTGTGTCGCAGAAGTCGCTATTGTCCCCCTTCAAGATTATAGAAGATTAACCCGTCACTCAAAATTCGTACAAAAGCAGCCGCCTCAGTGGCTGGAATGACTAGGCCATCCTCTCGACGTCGGCCTCGCCGTGGCTTTGCTCATCCCGAGACGACCTATGTCGCGATTCTCCGAGCGCTTGCCAGAGTAGGCCGTTTATAACGAAAAATATAGCCACCAGGCTCTAAATACAAACGTGCGGTTGTCATTTACGGATATTGTGGATCATATTCAACCTATTTTTGAACACAACGGGAATATTTCAAATTTCGTTGAAGTATCCCTTTAATGTACCAAGCTAATCTGGGCCAGTTCGTCAAAAAACATAGCTCCCTTTCCCCTCAATCCCACTTCCCCGCCCCCTCTGCCCCTGAACCCCCTGGACAAGGGGGATGGTCGTTATCTCCCATGCAGAAATAAACATATTTTCAATACTCGATATTTTTTCACATGTTCCTTGCGGGCCTTGTTTGCTCTGTTCCATATTTAGAACAACTTCCAAAATTATCTGGTATTTACCGCTGTGGTGCTGCGGTGGTGATTCCATGATGGTAGTGGCACTGAGGCCGTTGGGAGGAGCGAGCGATCGCCACTGCAAGGACACACTGCCTTTTGCGGCCCTTGCAGGCCTGTATCCCCTCAAAATATATGCTAATAAAGTAATATTATTACTATTACTAGAGCGAAAGAAAATCGAGCTTCCACTGTGCTTTCTGCGCACAGCTACAACTTGCCATTTTCAACTGTGACATCACCGGTAGGAATCCCAACGAGGTTGAGAATCCCCTCCTTTTTGACGTGTTATAAGCCAGGTTAAGTATTCAGCGCGCGCTCCACTTTTACCTTGAGCTTCCTGCCTTTGGTAACACTTCGTCGCACGCGCAGCTGAAGCCTATACTTAGTCTCATCTAGCATGGACTTGTTTGTTAGCCCAGCATGCTAAAAACACAAGCTATACTTTGTTTCAGCTTCGGTCCAGACGCAGCCGATGCTACAAGCGCGAGCATGTGGTCCAGAACAGTGCTTGCACTGCACGAGCGCGCGTGCTTGGCAGGGATGCTGAAAACCCGGAGCTCGCGCTTGTAGCTTTGGCTGCGTCTGGACCGAAGCTGAAACGAAGTATAGTCGGTATAGTTCCTTTGGATGAAGCCTCGGCGGCTGCACGAGCGCTCGTGCAGCGAGTGCTCCCGTAAAGGCCGTCGAGGCTAGCTGCTCGCGCTTGCACAGCCTTTGCAGTTAGTCCATGCTAAGGTGAGACGAAAAATAGTGGAAGGCAACAAGCGCGTGCTGAAGGCGTAGCTATCGTCCATTGAATTCTGGAATGCGTCTACGACTGGTGTGTTTACCGCGCCTCGTCTTTTCATTAAATTGAAACCATTATGCGGCTTTGCTTTATTTTGCATTAAGAAACACCAATGGAAGACCCCTAATTTATCTTCCGAACATAGAATACTTTTCGCATAATCACGCTCTAGGCGAATATCGAAAGCGAAACTCTGGCTGCAATGTGGCCGAAAGTGGAAACTAACACTTCTTTGCAGCCAAGATATCTCAGTCTAACTTAGTATGACTAGATTGACAAGAAGTGCTGACTTAATTAAATTTTAAACTTTTATAAGTACCACTAATTAGAGTCTAAACCGTGCTTTGAACGGTTGAACCACTGATCTCAAAGCTAGCCAGGGGCAACGGCCAGGGGTGCGTGGTGCGTAGCAAGTTACATCAACATCGACAACCTGCAGGCAAAGTTGGGCAAGGCTGCAAGGCGGCAAGGCGAGCGGTGGTTTCAGTTGTGGATATCCGTTCGTTCAGCCATTTCGCCCTGTGATACAGCTGTTCAGCCACCATAGGCCCATAGAATCATTGTTTAGCAGTCGTTCCAGTCGTTCCAACCACTCCAGCTTAGTGTTCAGCGACCACAGTACAATGTTCGGCGGCTACCCCAGTCGCACTAGTTGAGCAAGTTCAGTGTTCGATTATTCAGTCTCTGAGCGTTTGGAACGTTTCGATTCGTTCAGCTGAAGCAGCACGTGGCAGGCTTGTGAGTATACCCATATTTCACTGTTCTTCAGAAGATCCTTTCGCAGCTGCCATGGTGGTCCAAGTGACAAATTTGCGCAATTCGACTTTCAATTACACGACAAACAAAAACGTGCGTTACCCTTGACCTCTGACCTATACTTAGTGGCAAAATTTACCTAAATTTTGCGGGAAATGTATTCTATACGCCACGAGATTTGTGGCTGGGATTAAGCAGCGTATCTTTCCGCGCGAAAGCTCGTTTGGCACGGGTCGCCGTGTCACCCAACGAACGCCCCGTCAAACACCGTGTCAGCGGTGGCCGGGTGCTGACGTTTCGTTAATGGGTGAGGATTTTGTTCCGGCAGCCGGCACAATAGCCCGGGAAAAAAAAGGATGACGGCAGTTTCGGACGGCGCGTGTATCACTGGGGGGTGTGTCGACCCACCCTCCTCCGTAAATAAACCAGGTTGGAAGTTGGAGTACCCAATAAAACAGGTTGGAACAAAATTGAAGTTTATAAAAAAACCAGAGTTTTTTTGTTTTCTTTTTCCTCTAGGTTCCATTGTCTCTGCATATTAAGTTACATCACAAGGTGCATAACGGGATGCAGTGCTCTGTGCTACATGTGCCAAAAACTGGACGTTTACAAGATAATGCCCTTCCTTTTGACTCAATACCTACAATTATCACGAAGTTTATAAAAAGAATGGCAAAATCATTGTGAGGTGGTCGTATCTCAACGCCATAATTCTTTCCCTAAAGCCGGGGTCATGCTGCTTATACGTCATACAGAAGACAGTCTGCAAACAGATTCGAACACGAGTCACTACGAGATCTGAGCTTCGAATGCTGCATGGCAACAATTCAAAGAGACACTTTGCACGCGGCATTCGAACCACGGATATCGTGCTGACTGATATCTGCGGACTGTCATTAGTATGATGTATAAGCAATGTGACCCTGGCTTAACGGTGCTTCTAGTAGAAGCAAACATCTTGGAGTTTTTATAGATAAGGCATTGAATTTTAATCATCACGTGTCAGTCACATGCAACGCATCACTTAGAACATTGGGAGCAATTTCACGTTTCACAAGACAATTTTCTTCCTATGCATCTATCGTATGTTTATTCTGTAGTCTAATTCGCTCAAAACTCGAGTTTGCATCTATAGTCTGGAATTGTATAAATGATACAGCATCTTGCTCTATCGAGCGTGTACAGAAGCGTTTTATTCGCATAGTTTTCTATCGTTTTTTTGGACGTAAGTTTTATTATAATCACGATCGGCTGCTCAAGAGACTTGGTTTATGTACTCTGTTTGACAGACGGCGTTGTCGGGATATCTTGTTTTTACACAAACTTGTCAATGGGCTTGTAGATTGTCCTGTCTTGTTAAGCGTTATATGTTTTCACGCCCCACCACGTTCAAGCCGTAATCGCAACTTTTTCTGTCCATCCACATTTTTTCACACGTCTTCCTTAATACGAATGCAGCATGATTTTAATAATTTGTATTGTTCGCTCCTAGAAATATTCACTGACAAGTCAACTTTTTGGCGTAATCTAGAGAATATATCCCAGTGTTCCCATGATCCCAGTGTTTTGCAATTTTGAGCGTTTTTTTTTTCTTCTTTCTTTTTGGGGTTGCTGTATTTTTATTTTCAGTGCCTCTTCTCCTTTTACCTCATCTTACTTGTCAGATGTTGCTACTTGTTCTATGTTTGTTTTGTGAGTTCTTTCTGGGGAAGAGCTATGTTTTCTCTGTGCTTATACTTTTTATCTTGTCAGCATTTGCTGTGTACCACACAAAAGGCCCTGTGCTGTTTGTGGACACATAAAATAAAGACTATTATTATCATTATTATTATTGCTATATGACCCACATAAATTGCGTAATAAATAATAAAAATATTAAAGCGACAGAACGGGCTGCACTATATGGTATCAAACCTCATGCTCAGGCTCAAAAAGCTACGTCAAACAACGTGCGGAGATAAAAAAAGTACAGCATGAATATTTTTATTTAGGGAAATGCTAATTTTTTATGGACAGAGTTTAATATGTGCTACAGATTGCAGTCAAAAATATCAAAAGGGGCACTTGTAACGGTAGTGACACATGTCCATATGAATATCTCAAATGAAATAAGCATCACAACTTGTCTATCCACTTGCCCAGAGCAGCTGTTCACCGTTCTTCAACAAAACACAAAAATCTAAGTAGAAGGTGCAGTAACTCGACGTAACACGACTTTTCCTTAGACTCTTTTTCGTTGCGCCATGCTGAAACTACTGATACGGTGAATTAGACGCCTGGTTGAGAGTGCCTCCCCGAAGAGAGAGACATCCTCCTTCTATTTCGCTTACGCCCACTCTGTACGAATGGGACGGCCAGAGAAGCATTTGCGTGCTTCGGGATTTCAGAGGCCATTGGGGGGGGGGGGTCCCCTCTTCTCCTGCTCAGCAGGCACGACAGAACTGCTGGCAAACGGTCATTTCCAAACGAAACAACACTCTTCACCGTCCCAGCGTAGTGCTGCAGTCGGTATGGGATTGTACCTTACTACAGGTTTTTTTTATTGCATATAGAGCAACACGCGGCACTGACGTCACGCCTCTGCGGTGGCGCTGTTGCAGCCACGACGCATGTGCAAAAGCTTCACCTCACGCAAATCTGGTTTCTGCGGTTTCTGCGCTTGAACAATGCCCACACCTGATGTGGTCATTCGCGGGCTTGTTTGTGAATAGTGTGTCGGTCTATAGAAGCAACTGCAAAGAACGAGCTTCACGTCATCGCCATGTGCCAATCGAAAGCCGGAATTTTGGGCTAATGTGCATGGGCAGTGTGGAACAAGCAGCGTTCGCTTGTCTATGCAATACTAAAACTCGCTACAGTTTTACCGGTTTTTCAATGCTCATTGAAAGATGCTGCAGTGTGCAGGCGGGCAAACGGGTAGGCGTTCCTTTGAATTGGAAAAACTGAAATTGGCAAAACAACACAAAAAAAAATCCCTCCATTCACGCTTAATAAGCTTGAATGGGGGATATGTCGACGTCGATTTTGTTGCGTCTGCTCGCACACACCGGTGGCTGCTGACTTGTGGAATGATGGTGCGCCACTTATTATAGACATTGAAATGTTTGGTTGAGCATCCCTGAGTCCCTGAAAAGACAATTTTTTTTTTTTTTTTTCTTTTAAGTCTTGTTGGGGGACACTTGAATAAAAAAATTAATTTTACGTGAAAAAAAAAATTTTTTTCAGCAATATTGATGGCGTGAGACACAATTAATCGGTAGTCACCTCCTTTCCACTTGTTTTCTCTCGGCATTTTGGGTGCATGAAGGAAAGGTGGATCGGCTGCGCCTTCATGTGGCGGAAAGCGCGAATGACCATCTTGTTGAGCGAATGACCGTTCTGTCTTGCCATCCATATTGCTCCAAAATTTTTAAAATTTTTGCGTAATTTATTTTTTGACACACATGTCCCAATTAGGCTGTGTAAAAAAAAAAAAAAATTCTTTTTTGGTCTCTTTATGCAACACATTATATTAGAGCTAAAAAAATCTATGTATCAAAATATCTTAATATAAATTGCGATAATGTAAGCCCTCAATAAATGCCACAGTCACGAAAATACGCCATTTAACCATAATGATAATTGTCTTTACAGGAAGGTCTCACTTTGTTTTCCTTTTAGCATCTGAAAAACACTGGCATTGTTATCAAGACTGACATACGCACTGGATGTAATATGAAGTCCTATGCATCACGCATTACCTTAAAAAAATCATGCACAATTCTGTTGTTTAACTAGGATTCCATTTATGGTTTTTTGTAGGGTGAATAGCCTTTCCTAATTTAAATGTTTTGTGGACCTATTCTAAACTCGTCAACCTTGATGATATTTTGTAAAATTTTTATTGATTCTGTTATTGTTGTTCTGGGTATAAATGTTATAGCAATTAATCACCTGGATGCTCCAAAGCCTATTAAAAGGGCCCGCAGTTCATTATTTCAAATGACAATTATCCGAGTGAGAAAAAGCAGTCACAACATACAAATATCAGCGCCGATTTTTTGCTACAAATGCAATGTTCTACGATACCTCTAAGGTGTATGAAAGATCCTGTCTTTAAAGGAACACTAAGCTCTCCAAAATATCTTGAAGCGTCTTGATCCGACACGCATGTCACAAAATAAAGTTTGCGCAAACAATCTCTTTAGCTTAATATTTATGCTGTGAGACATATCTCAAATTAGAAGAGAAACCGAAGGTTACAACTATACCGAGAAATCCAATCCAAGATGGAAGGATGTTTCGGTTTCATTCCTGAATTAAAGCGTGCCTCCTGGTGTATATAGTGTGCTAAACACCATTTTTGTTTTCAATATAAAGAGGTGGCCTGCAAGCCTAACAACCCAGCTTCCTTATATAAGCGGAAATAATTTGTGTTGCTCGGTGAAGCCAGCGCACTAGACAGGCTCAACAACCAATATATCAGTAGGCATCTCCAACCTCACTACAGCTGCCATCTTGGAAAACAGATGGCACCACCTATAGACAGTTGGAGTCGCGAATAGCGCCCATGAGTCGCTAAATGGGTGTCTGCAGTCCTACTTGAATCCCCTGAGGTTTGGTGGCAGTACTAAAATCAAGAGGGCGGCCCACCGAAACCATAGGGCGGCGCCATCTTGTTTGGGCCTGCGACAGGTTCAGTAGGTAGGGCGCCGCAATATTGAATAGGACCTCGAGGAGAGGCAACCTCCTCTCCAGCATTTACTCTGCTAAAGTGGAAAGAGGTCGGAGGAGTTTTTCCTGAACTGTTAACACCTGTCACCAACTATAGTTTGACTGCAAGCCACCAGTCAAGTGCTTCTAAAAAACAATGCATGCTTGCATGGAGTTATTTACTCCTTGTCTGACTGTACATGACCCAATCCCAAACATTTTGTGTCGAAACCTTTGCTGTTATCTTTGCCACTTCCAAAATCTCCGTATACCGAAGTCCATCAATGCTTGGCGTTCCCTGCAATGTCACATCCTTATTTTTTTCTTTTTTTACACGCAGATGCTTTTCTTTTTTAGCTGGAGGAAGTGTCTATCGATGGTATTCTTTTTTTGCGTTCGTCCTTGCTTCATGAGCTTTCGGTTGAGTTAGTTTCAACATTCCTTGTGACTGAAAAGTCTCAAGTTAGTTTCAACATTCCTTGTGACTGAAAAGTCTCAAGAAGGTCATGCTGCTGCATGGACTTCTTGAGATTGCACACTATTCGTGGACGGACATACATTGATAAGCATGGTTGGAAGGGGTTTCTCTATGACCCTTATCCAAGCACTGCTTTTCGTGTCGTTAAACACTGGTGCTGCCATTTTCACTTTGCTCGAGCAATTTTACAAGAGGTTCAGGAGCTTTATTTTACCCTGTTTGTGCCAAAACTCAACAAGAGTAACATACTTTGATTGCAAAAGCAAATAGACTACAAATTGCCAGTGGTTTAAAGGACTCGAGGCACCTTACAACAACTAACATGCCTGGAAAAAGCGTGCCCACTAGCCAGATCCATCGCAGATTTGACCAGGCGTGCTGCAAAACAGGAAACAACCATCTGGTTTCAATGGATCCCATCACATGTAGGTATACCCGGAAATGAAAGAGCAGATTCGCTGGCAGCAGAGGCCCACTCAGACCAAAGTCCCACTATCTTTGTCCACCCGTACAACGCAGAAAAATCTTTTATAACAATGGCAATAGGAAGCATGCACCCGTATTTTGAAACCAATTCAACACCCATCCCAGTTTTGATTCCGCGTAAAAAGTTCTCCAAGCCTCAACAATCACTCCTACACAGGTTGCGAGCCGACTGTGCTTCAATCAACAAGAGACTTCATCTCATCAAGCGCATTAAGTCTCCTAGCTGCACCACATGCAACATCATCGAAGACAGAAAACACATTATTTGGGAGTGTCAGTCGCTAGAGACGGAGCGAACCACATTAACGCAAACACTGAAGGCTCTCCATGTTTCGCCGGGGGATTCCAACGCTCTCCTCTTCCCATCAGGATCCCGGACTAGAAGAACAAATATACTGAAAGCCCTCATTGACTTTTTAGAAACGACAAACCTGTCATCCAGACTGTGAAATAGCATATGACATGCCTTCATCCTATGGTCGCCGATGGGTCGAAGCGGCGGGTGCTTCGTTCCGTCGCCCTGATCGTGGCGGGGGCGCTCGTGCCCCCGTGGCGCTTCGGCTTCTTGAAGTCAGCGCCCAGCAGGGGAGCGCGTGCTCCGGCTGCATTTGGGGCAGCGGTGGGATGCGACCTGTCCTTCCATCGTATCAGCGGCTATACCCTTCATTTCTGTAAATACGCCCACCCCCATTGTCACCTCCTACCCTATCCTCTTTTTCTCCCGATCCCCGCAAGACGACGAACCAGACCCCTCCATGGGTGAATAACAATGCGTCTTGCATCCCTCTTTCTATTTTATTTATTCTTTAATTTATAACAAAAGCTATATTTACACACACAAAGGGATACTTCAACGAAATTCGAAATATGTCCGTCGTGTTCAAAAATAGGTTGAATATGATCCACAATATCCGTAAATGACAATCACACATTTGTATTTTGAGCCTGGTGGCTGTATTTTTTGTTATAGACGGCCCACTCTAGCAAGTGCTTGGAGAAGGCCCAGCTTAGAGCATGTGACATCTGACGCAGTCGTGACGTAGGTCGTCTCGGGACGAGCAAAGCTACGGCGAGGCTGACGTCGAGGGGATGGCCTAGTCGTTCCAGCCATGAAAGCGGCTGCTTTTGTGAATTTTGAGTGACGGGTTAATCTTTTATAACCTTGTAGGGGGACAATTGCTACTTCTGGAACACTCGAAAGGGATTCTCGGGAAGATGGGGAGTTCCTCCTTCCCCTCTTCTCTCGTCGTGGCCAGAGGCGAGACACTCACCGTCACTACCTGTCAAGGTTCCTAGACGGGCATTACAAACGAGACGTTAGCGACATCCACCAGGTGCTCTTTGCTATCGTTTAATTCGTTTTAAAATTCCTTTTCGTGGCTTTTTTTAACAAGATATTGGTGGGTTTGATGTGAAACTGCTTCTTTGAACCCATATAGACCATAAAATGAGCGCCGAAATTTCGTTGTAGTATCCCTTTAAAGGAGCTGTGCAACAATTTCAGGGCTTTGCTTAAATAATTGTGGAAGTTGATACCTGACACTTCTGAAGTGAACCACAGAAAACAAATTTTGCCTGGATACCCTAGTTTTTATTTAAAAAAATTAAAAAGATTCAGGTTTTTGCCACCTCTCAACTCGTACATCGTCTTCCAGGTCACGTGCACAGTGACGTCGATGGGGTAGGGCCGGGGTTCCGGTAAAGTTCTCTCTCCAAAGCCATCAGTGAGCAGCGAGAACTCATCCACTCTCGACCGCGTGACCACGTGCTGGCGGGCTCAGCGCGAACAGTATGGTGAAAGGAGGAAAGTCTCATCCGTGTCCAGCCATACTCGTCCGGCCCTGTCCCACTCCACTCCCGGCTTCTGGCGGCTGTTCGCGTTAGCAGATAGAGCTGACGGTTTTGTGGACCTAGGATAGATGGCGCCACTAAAACTCCGTATAATAAAAGTTCTGTCGATGATACCAGGTTTTTGGTGCATTTATATTTATGTTGGAACGACAAGATTTATAAAAAAGTTAACCTTTTATTGAGCAGGTATCCGCACAACTTGCTACCTCTCTACTAGACCCCCATTGATGTCATGCCGAATGTTTCTCATGGCCGCCACTCGCGGCTGCAGGTCGGGGAATATTCTAATTTTTGCCTTGCTATTATGCGGCAGAATCGCAACATTTCAATGAAATGAGGTGTGTTTTCTGTCCATCCCAACAATGTCGAAAGCAGAGGATGCCAATTCTTTCAACGTTAAAATCGTTGCACAGCTCCTTTAAGGGGCATTATTCAGCATCAATAGTAAAAGGGGCATAGAGAGTTCAATACCTGGGGCAGCGAAGACTGCGATTTTGATAACTAAATATTGCCTGGCATACTTACTTGGTAGGAGCCCATTATGTAGGTATGATGTGCCCTGGCAGGTTATACTGGTTGGTTTCACTATGATACCTTCCAGTTCCCCAGTAGCATTGTTAGGAACAGCAGCTTCTATTAGATAATGGAAGGAAGCCCCTCTCACTGGTTCAGGGGCCAAGTATCATCATGTGGATTACCAGTTGGCACGTTTCAATGTTTGTCGATGTGCCCACAATCTGGCTAACGCTCATTGCACTGCAGGTGCCATGCAAACGAGGTTTTGGTATCCTATTCAAGATCCACAGAAGTAATGTTCTCTTCATGGCTGGGGTGTCTCAGATTTCCATTGTTTTGTTCTTAATATAGGCTTCAAAATTGTTATTTGTTCTGCATTCATGCATCAGCCTCACTAAAAACAATTTGTTTCCAGGCTGCAGGACAAGACGGTGCAAGTATGAGTGCAGACAGCGAAGGCATTCGCCACGTCCGGAGCATACGAAAGATGCTCCACATCCAGAAAGATGAAGCCTGTGCCCAGATCAAACGGGAAGTTGCTGACTTGCAGCAGAAACTCTTGGAACAACTTGACACTGCCGTCTGGATAAAGGAAGTCGAGTTGAAGAAGTTGGAAGAAGAGGTCCACTCTTGTAGCATTCCTCTGAATCCCCTGCATTTCTTCCGCTCTACTGCGGTGAGGTCACTGCTTAGTCTAGATTGCCTCAGAGTGCGCGACTTTGAGTGTGCCTCTTTTGCCTACATCAACGCTTGCGAAGCGAAGCCAGATCAGTTGCATTTTGTCGACGATTACAGCGCTCGCGTGAGCAAGACTGGTGACATGGTCAGGGTTTACTACGTCTGTAGTCTGGACTACGACCCGATACTGTTCAGGTTCCTCACTGTTCTTGTCAAGGACACCGCCAACAACACTGTTAGCAGCAAGAACTGGGAAGCAGGGAATGGCCGCTACATGGTGGAATTTAGGGCATGTGGAGAAGGTTCCTACCTTGTGTACGTGAAGCTGTACGGTCAGAACATCTGCGGAAGCCCCGTTGTCATCGATATCCAAGATGAGGATTCCGCGTTGCTGCCCGAGCTCTCGCAGTCTTGCTTGCAAGTATCCTTGCCCATACTTTCGCAGCCTCGCAAAGAAGTAGCCATGGCTGAACCCACTCAGTCTCGACAAGAGGTGGCCTTGCCCGAGCGCTCTCAGTCTCGTGTGGAAGTATCTTTTCCAGAGACTCCACACGACCAGGATGAGGCTCTCGTTCAACCGCAACACTTTTATGACGCTGGGCTCGCAATGATTCAGCAACCAGAGGCGGAAGAAGTAATAGGCAGTACTTGCAGCTGGCCAACACAGGTGACAGCAATGGACCAAGTAACACTGCCAGAAGCACGAGAAGCCAGCAATTTGGAAGTGGCTACAGATGGGCAATCTGTCAGAAGCACCAACCCTTCTGAACCGACTTTGATGTCTGCACCGACCTGCGACAAGGAGTTCTTTGGTCAGTCTGCTCTCTCTTTCTCAAGAGAAACAATTCGGTCAGTTCCGGATGGAGCTGCACAGGAAGAGAAAGGGATCACAAGTCCAGTCATTGAGAGCCAGAGAAAGAAGTCTTTCACAAGGTTTTCAGGTCCGTAATTTTTTAAGTTCAGTAACAGCCATTTGAACCAGTTTTAATTCAGGCAGGTGTGCACGACTCAGGTACTGCATTGTGCTACACAATGTTACACATATGGCGCTGCTTCGTAAGAGAACATTGTATGCAGCCCTATGCAAGACGGGCTTTCATTCATTCTATACTTCTCTCGTGTAAAGTGCTGCCCACATAGCCTCTCTTCACTTTTGGAGGGTCAGCCTATGAACGGGTTAAGTGATATCTGGGTCATGTTGCCGATGAATGCTGTTTTGAAAGCAGGAATTGAGATAAATTTCAGCTTTCGTTGTGGTGGATCTGGTTTTCAGAGTATTTTATACATACTACGCAAAATGCCTAGAAAGAAATCTTGTCTCGAGCAGTTCGCTGGAGAGTCCCGTTATTCTTGAATGGGGCTTATTCATGTTGACCAAGACCTTTGTTGCGTGGATTCTGTGCATGCTTTAATCTTAATTCAATTTGTGTTTTGTTTTGTTTTGTTGCAGCTGCGAACAAAGTTTACATTCTTGTTACTACTTTCTTGGAGTCGCTTACCATAAAATACTGAGCATGTGCATCCATGTTACCAGGGCCCACCCACTAACTTTGAAGCATTTAAAAACTAAGAAAAACGCATCCATATATTCTCCGAGCACACCGGTGCAAAGTGGTGAAGCCTGCCCTATCAATATCCCCTTCTGCGTTATTGCTCTTAAAGCTAATAAGCACCCATTCCCCTTTTTTTTTTTTTAAATCATCTCTGCATTGTGAGTAATCGCTTGCTTAGTATTTATTGCGTATTGTTTTATCCAATTCAAACTTTCCTTGTACCTCGCATAATGGCCTTTTTTCAATGTGGCCATTCTAACTGGATGGCTTTACTGCACCCATGAGGAAAGCTCTGATGTAGCACGTCCCTCATTTGTGGCTTTGGCAGTCCACGTCAAGCTGAAACTATGCATAGATGTCCTTCCTGGGTGCTTGATAGCTCAACGAGGGCTCATTATGCGCATGCTGACGATCGGTATCTCCCACAGGCACTGTCAGTGCAGACCTCATTCTGGAATTCAAGACTTGCAACAAAAATGACTACCTCAGCTTCCCGATCGGTGTCTCTGCCACTGCCGAAGGCAACATCATTGTGGGCGACACCGGGAATGACAGAGTCGTCGTATTTGATGCCGAAGGAAGAGCCCTGTGCAAGGCAACACTGCGTACGTACCAGAGTCTATTTAGAAAGCAATTCTCGGTACTGCATGTTGATCGATAAGCTGTAAATCGTGGTTGCTCGAAAATGAGCCCACCAATTTTTTTTGAAGCCCTGTTTGAACCTTGACACAAGCAGGCATCTTGGATAAAGGTGTTGTTTACTGTTGACATATGTTTTTGTTGTTGGTTGTGCTCAAAACTTGGAGGTACTTAAAACAATTTTTTTGCTCATTATCTTTAAATTTAATCCCTGATATTTTAATATACAGGGTGTTTTGTTAAGTGGGACAATAATTATATAGAAAAAAAAGAGGAACTCGCTTTAGAGGACACATGCAAAGGAAAAAATCTTTTTTTTTAAACAGCTTAGATGGGAAAATGTTGTTATAAAACAATTTTACAATGAAGAGAAAAAAATTTAGAGTTATATTTACGGCACTATACGAATTTGTAGTTGGCACCTGCGGGTGCCGTGGAAAAGTGGCCCTTATTTATCATGTAGTGTTCGTGCCCTTCCAAAAGCTTCCCATGGCCTTTGAAAGTAAATTATTCATCTTTGTTTGAAGTATAACAAAAAACTATGATTAATAAGTAACTTATAGAGCCCAAAGGGAACCCCTGAAGAAGCGCTAGCAGACGTGATAGATCTGTGCGCCGGTCAGATGACGTCGGCAGCGCCCCGAAGCAGACAAACTTGTGTGGCGACGGTGGCTTGAAGAAACGTGTTGAAGCGGCGTCGCACAACGCTGAGCGTACGGCGGCGGCGTGACTTTGCGGCGGCGGTGCGCGGGCCTACCACATGATCGGCAGCGGCTCCCGCGGGCGCCAACTACAAATTCGTTTTGCGCCGTAAAAATAACTCTAATTTTTTTTTTCTTCGTTGTAAATTCATTTTATAATATTCTTTTTCCATCTAGCCTGTTTAAAAAAAAGTTTTTTTCCTTTGCATGTGTCCTTTAAGGTTGTTCTTTACCCTGGGGCTAACTTGGGGGCCAATAGCAAAGAGGAGAAATTTATCATTTTCTTTTAGCTAATTACTTAACTAAGTTCTGATGAACTTTCTCAATTTTAATTTTTGGGGCATAATGTGTTTGAGGATTGACGCTTGGGCTCATTATAGTTCAGTCGTGATATTTGACATTTTTTATGGGTTGCGACTCGCAGCGTATCGGAGCTTGGGATGCACTAGTTTAGGTAGTAGTTAAATGGGATTGTGTGACAGTGATGCAACCCGGGAATAAAAATGAATGAATGTGAAGGGCGTTGTGACAGCCTTTGTAGACAGGTGTCTCGAAACCTTGAAATGACTTATGACCCGACATGCTAGCCATGCTCTAATGGTGGGGTTCACTGCGGTGCAGAAGAAAGAAAAGATTGGATGTCTCCTGAACTATCGCTTCCAGTTAAACTTTTTTCCTTTCAGCTGGAACCGTACACTTCAAGCGCCCCTCGGCGATTGTCTCCCTGGACGACGGCAGCTTTGCAGTAAAGGATGACAGGTGCATCTACTTGTTCTCCAAAGCTGGGGAGTACATCCGGACCTTGGGCAAAAACAGCTTGGTGCGACCCTTCGGTAAGCTAGCTCGTGATTTCCCTGCCTGGATTCTTAAAGGTGTATAACAATTATTTGCGCCGTGATGTCGGCTGCCACGGTGGTTTTGAAGTGGAGTGCTGGCCAATGGATCCCCGGACGGTGGGTTGGAATCCCGGCCGAGCTGCCTGCAATATGACTGAGGCTTATTGCAAAGAAGGCACCGTGTAACTCCAATCTTTGTTGCCTGTCAAAAGATCCCCAGGTGGTCGAAATTAACCCTTGGTCCTATGCTTTGGCGCGCCGAGAGTCCTTCGCTTGTTTGGCGTGTGAAACCTTCAAGTTTGATTTTGTGCCGTGACATTGCATATTAGCATATTGGCTGGTTTTCAGTTAGAGTGAAGCGTGCTACAGTTGATCATCACCTTATGATGTTTTGCCTTGTTGTGCCTCTCTTTTTTTTTTTTGTGCTTTACCCAGTCATTTCTCGATTCTACTCCAGACACCCTTACATACCCCTTTTTCACTAGAACTTGGTTAACTGCAGGGATGGGCAGTATTTCAAATACGTTGTGTATTTTGCATTTGTATTTAATTACAAATTGGGCAGTGTATTTGACGTGTGTATTTAAATACTAAAACATGGGTATTTCAAATACAATTGTAATTAAATACAATTTTGTGGGCAAAAATACATCCCTCAAGTTTATTGTCACGACTCATTTTGCTCATCCTAAGACGTGCCCAGAGCAGGAAGAAAACTACGTTCTGCACCAAATGCAGTGTCTCTCAATCAAGCACAAGCGTTTAGTGACTTTGTGATTACAATGCTAGTCCAGGGCTAGAATAGTGACGAAATCGACGTTCACAGGCAGACTGGCTAAATAAGTGCCTGTGACAACTTGTGATGCTTTCCAGCCTGATTTCCGTCCATATTTTTGCCTGGAACATTCTAAATGCGCGGGTCGTCCGGATTTTCGTAACTGGTGCGAGTTGCAACAATAAAATATTCTCTAGCTAGTGCTGCGCGTTTTGGTCATCTCGGTTCTTTGTTGGTCTATACCAAAATGTAATTGACAAAAAAAAGCTGCTTGAAGCTCTGTACTTTTTTCCCCTATTACGTCCAAGCTGATTACATTTTTTTTTTTTTGTGATTATATTTCTATTGCGTTACTAAAGCCTCGCACACCAACTCCCGAGTGTGCGATGCAAAATTAAAATGAGAGACCCAGAAACCCGTTGCAGGTGCCCTGAAGTGGCTGATGCAAATTTTGAGGAATGTATTTGGAAAAGTATTTGGAGGAGACCAAATACATTTGGTTGTATTTGTATCTTGTACTTAAATGCTTTTTTGGAAATGTAATTAGATTTGTAATTAAAAACATTTTTGACAAAGTATTTTGTATTTGTAATTCAATTCATATTTGCATGTATTTTGCCCATCCCTGGTTAACTGCTTGAGGTTGGTGAGTAGAATGAACTCTAATCTCGCGAGGTGTTTGTGCCATATGTGCGTTGGCTTGACATTTATTGCAACACACAAAATGAAAACATAGAAGCAGTGGGGCATGACTGACGAGTTTTGGTGTGGTTCCAGTGTCGAAAGCATGTTGCTTCTCTTGCCTCTCAAGGCCTGGCCGCTCACGGAGCAAATGAGCTGATGACTCTGTCCCTCGACTCGCCCGCCAAGCTGTGGTGCTTCAGCGCAACAGGCGACTCCGAGGCCTTCGCAGTCTACTCTCCACTCAACCCCATTGCTCCGGCCGGCTCCAAGTGCAGGTTCCTTGAGGTTCACGAAGACTCTGTGTTTGTGGCAGATCTCGGTACGTGATGTTCGCTGTTGCCTCTACTGATCTAGCTGTCGCAGTGCCCTCAACTTAAAGCTGAAGCCAGATTCACAAAGAATCTCTTAAGGGCCTATGAGCAGCCAGAAATGAGGAAACTCTCCCTCAATTCCTTCTTTCCCTTCAAGAAAGAGGGAGACATTTCTCCTTTTTGCAAGGAGTAGCTCAGAGACCCGCTCCTGTGGAGGAGAGAAGACGGAATGGAGAGAAAGAAACTGGAAACCGGTTTTCCGCCCGGTGGACGGTTTTTTAGGTCGGCCTTTTTTAAGACATTTTTGCTAAGAAGTTTGTAAGTTACACACGTCGTAAGAAGTGTTGAAATTGGTATTCACAAACTCATTCTTAAAGGGGCAGTGCAACGGTTTTAATGTTGAAAGAATTGCCAGTTTGCATTTTTTATATTGTTTATACAAGCCCAAATGACCAAAAACGCATCGCCTTTCCCCGAAAAATAGCTATTCTGCTGCGTAATCGCAAGGCAAAAAACGAATTATTTGCCAATGTGCAGCCGCCAGTGGCGGCTACGGGAACTAAAATGACGGCATCTGTGGGGGATACACGAAAGTCAACAAAACCTGTCCCCCTCCTCTGCTACACCTGCCGTTAGCCCTGTGGCGAACCATCCTTTGTGTCCATCGCTCGCCGCGACCTTCGACGAGGCTAATCCTTTGAAAGTCGACAATCGTGGAGGAAGCGGCTGGGGTCTTTGAAGAGAGGGCCCAAGGGGAAACCACGTGAACCCCCAGAGTACGTCACTCGAAAGTCGGCGTGGAGAGTTGAGAGGCACTTCGACCTTCAATTGATTTCATTTTTTTTAAAATAAGAACTAGCGCTCGCAAGAAAATGTGGCTTTCGGTTTTTCATTCAATAGGGGACGCAGATTAATTTCCGCAGTTAATTGGCCAAAGTCTGAAAATCGTTGCACTGCCCCTGTAAGTGAGAGGGGGGGGAAACGACGGGAGGAAGGAAGCTTCTGGTGTTTTGCAAGCTCCCCAACACTGTGAGACCGGGCTGTTTTTATGGTGACAGCTTCTTCGGGATCCCGGACGGCCAGTCGGAGAGCTTGGCGTGTTTCGAAGGTGTCTGGGTATGGGCCACAACAAGCGTAGGCAGCGGCCATTCTGGCAACGCCTATGTGGTAATCGTGCCTGTACTGCGAGATGTTGATACTACCGTGATTTAAACGGACCCGAATGCCCAGCTTTACTGTGACCGGGGTGACTGGGATAACTCCTTTAGTTGACTGCTACAAACCCTTGCTACAAGTCCACAAAACTGTCATCGTTGGTAAACGGGACGGCCCGCACGCCTAGTTTGCAATGCGACATGCATGGAAACAAATAGCCGCAGCATTATTGGCGGTCTGGGGAATCCGAGAGTCAACCAACGTTCAAGAAGATGCTTTTTATTTACAAAAATGCCAGCAAGAGCCGCGGAAAATGCCTGTTCACACTAGGAGCCCTTCGTTGGCCTTTTGTGCCTATTTGAAGCGCTCTAACTACGCTGTTGGACTGTGTCTTGGTAACCACTTTGGGGCCAATCTTTCACAATCGCTTTTTGCTGTGTGTGGCCCCTAGGCAATTGCAAGTGAATGCTGACATGACATTCAGCAGAGGAAGCGTCGGACCCACGTCGCGTACCTTCCACGCCACGCTCTACCTCGACCTGCGTTGTTTGTTTTTGTTACGACAGTTGCATCGGTACATAAAGGAAATACTATGAAAAATCAATTGTATGTACGACATGATGCAAAGTTAATCCTTTCAGCATTAATTTGAACTCTATGTGAAACAAAGCAGCAGATGGAACCTATGAGTGTCTCTTTGCATCGAAGCTTTGGCATCTGGTCTGGGCAGCTGACATTATATTTGGGCAGAAAATGAACTTTCATCAATGCATAGTTCATTTTCTTGGGGGGGGAAAAAATGCTGCTTACATTTTTCTTAGGTGCCCGGTACAGTGGTTGAAACGAAAGCTGATCCAAACTACAAAATGTGTTATGCAGTCGCTAGTACAGTCTCTGCTTGAAGATCTCGCATAGTGTGTGGTTGCATGGCGACATGCTCGTCTCGTGCAGCTGACAACCGTTTCCATACATGAGAAGTTTTGGTTTCGGCCTATGTAAAAGTTGCTTTTCAGCATTCTTATGTTTGAGTTGAAAAAATGCCATTGTAGAGGCATTTCCAATCATTTCTGCACACTTGTCATTTGCCACAGGGCTGAGCCACGTGTACAAGACTGACACAAAGGGTGAGGGGACCAACATATTTGGCAAGAAGGGAAAAGAACCAGGCGCTTTCTGCGAGCCCTCCGGAATCTCTGCATCTGACAAGGGCCTCTTCATAGGAGACAGCAAGAACAACCGTATTCAGGTGAGGGTCACAAATGATGCACGAGCCAGCATTCCACATACTACATTACCAATTTTGTGTGAGTCTAACTAAACTGGAAGGAGATATTCCTTATTTTTGTTATTTCCCTTTTTTGGTCTTTGGCGACCTTGTACACAGAGAGTACCGTAATGGATGTGGGTTCTGGGTGACAGATACCCACACCCAAGATGGGCATGCTACTCATCTGCATGGTAGAAAATCCACCAGTTGGGTCCTGTGCTCCAAATACAGTCTCTTTGATGTGCTACTGTTCCAGAGTTCCTTGAAGGTTGCGAGGAGGTTGCCAAGTTATGACGGCAGTTGGGGATGAGGGTCCCCGAGATGAGGGTTTGGGGCTTCCGTGCACTGATTTATTTATTTATTTATTTATTTATTTATTTATTTATTCATTCCCTCAGGGCCCGAAGGCATTATAGAGGGGAGTGGACACACACATCTAATTGCACACAAAGACAGACAGTAATTAGGCAGGTAAGCATAAAAATCCAAAAACAGAACATTGTTAAAACAAAACACTGTCAACCAAAATCCAAAAAATATTCGGAAAGTGCAGCTTTGAATCCGGCACTCTCGGCTATGCTGGCAACAGGTGCGGGAAGGCGATTCCAGTCCAGTGATGTCATGGGTATGAAAGACTGATGAAAGCTTGAGGTGCGACACTGAGGGACGCCAACTTTATTTTGATGGTCGAAACATGATGAGACGTATGATGGTTGTGTTAACAGATGCTGACGAAGGTTTGCATTGTGGTGGTAAATTTTATGGAATAAACATAGACGAGATATTTTTCTACGTAGGGAGAGGTCAGACAAGCTTAGGGTAGTTTTCATTGCTGTTACGCTAGATGTGCGATGATAGTTATGCAGTTTGAAACGAACAGAATGGTTTTGAGCAGCTTCTAATGATAATGGAAGCGTTACACCGGGGTCCCAGATAGCGGAAGAATACTCAAGTTTGCTGCGGACCAATGATTTGTAAAGAAGTGGTTTTAAGGACAGTGGGGCAAGAGAGAAGTTCCTTTTCAGAAAGCCCAACATGCGGTTAGCGTTTTTAATTATATACTCAATATGAATGTTCCATGAGAGGTTGATTGGCCATAGGTCAGTATGGCTTCCTGCATGAATCCAGTTTGACAACTCTGCTCTTGGTCATAAATATCCACTGTATCACTGGAAACATGTGTAGGAAAAAAACTAAATGTAGACATTGGAGTACCTCAAGCAGGTATTCCATTGTCTACATAATGCAGGAGTCACCCTAAACAAGAACAGAGTCGAATTCTTGGGTCACATCCTGGACAGCACAGGCATCACAGTAGACCCAGAGAAGACAGCAGCTGTGACCAACATTCCAGCACCTGAAAACCTGAAGGAGCTGCAATCGTTTCTAGGAATGGCCAACAATCTGGCAAAATTCCTTCCCATGATGACACAAAAGACAAAGCCGCTGAGGGACTTGCTACACAGCGATGCAAGTTGGTATTGGGGTGAACCACAAGAGAGCGCCTTTCAACAAATCAAGACCGAACCTAGTGCGACTCCAGTCCTCGCTTACTACAACCCTCAGGCGCCGATCACTCTTTCATCAGATGCGTCATCATGAGGACTTGAGTCCGTACTGCTACAGGAAGACCAAGATTGGAAAAGACATGACCGAAGCAGAACAGAAATACGCTCAGGTAGGAAAGGAGGTGCTCACTTTCAAATGGGTGTGCAAACACTTCCAAATGTACAGTGCAGTCCAATTATAACGATATATTGGTTATAACGATCGATTTTATAGAAGCATCAATTTTTGCATTGGTTCTATGTAAAAATAAACCATATATAGCGATGCATTTTTCTCGGCATATCGGATATAACGATCAAGAAATGATTGTGTAGAATGTGTTTACTACGAAAATTCAACAAAAAATGAGATAAAAATTGTGAAATTCAGCGAAGAAACGACAGAGATCGGTGGACGCGATCATCGCCGATGGGCCCCGACCGAATACTCCGTGAGTAGGCGCTGCGCGCGGCCTTAAAACCTCGGCGCTATCATCATCATCATTATCATACTCGTAACCCCTCCCTGCCCTCCTCTTTTCCGCATCGCTGGCGTGAAAGATGGCTCCGACGAAGCGAAAAGCTATCTCCTTCGAGGAGAAAAAGCAAATCCTACGTGATTGGCGGCAAGGATTCAAGGTCGGAAGTCTCGTCCGGAAGTATGAGCACTCTCGGTCGACGATATCGACCATCCTGAAATCCGGGGACGTCGTAATGAAGGCTAGAACAAGCGGCTTAGATGACCAGCGGAAAAAGCTTAGGGAAGCCTTGTACAAGGATGTTGAGGAGACCCTGTACCAGTGGTTTCATACGATCCGAAACGAGAACATGCCCACCAGTGGACCAATCCTGGCCGCAAAAGCAAAAAGCTTCGCGTTCCTTTTCGGACGCGGGGACTTCCAACCCGGCGGAGGCTGGATCCAGCGCTTCAAGGAACGTCATGGGATCGTGTACAGAAACGTGGTGGGGGAAGCCGCATCGCTCGATGGACCGGCGAAGGAAAAGTGGCTGGCGACGAAGCTCCCCGACATCCTGGACCGCTACTCAGAAAAGGACATCTACAACGGCGATAAAACGGCGCTGTTTTTTCAGATGGTGCCGTCCAAGACACACGCTCTCAAAGGAGATCCATGCGTCAGAGGGAAGCACTGCAGACTCCGAGTGACTGTGTTTCTGTGTGCTAATATGGACGGGAGCGACCGGTGCAAGCCCTTCGTTAATGGGAAGTCCAAGAACCCAACCAGCTTTAAGAATTGGTACATCCCGGTCCGCTACCGGCATAACAAGAAGGCGTGGATGACTCGCATTCTCTTCGAGGAATGGCTCATTGAGTTGAACAACGCCATCGAAAGCCAGAACAGGAAGGTGATCCTATTGCTGGACAACTGCAGCACTCATAACGTCAGCCCGAAGTTGACGTCCGTTGAGCTCATGTTCCTGCCTCCAAACACGACGGCAGGCCTACAACCAATGGACGCTGGCGTGATTGCGAACTTCAAGATGCTGTACAGGCGTCGCATGATGGAATGGCTCATCACGAAGATCGACAGTGCCGTCGCCGGACCATCAGGAGGACTGGCGAGCGGATCTCCTGATCTCAAGATCACTTTGTTGACGGCCGCGCGTTTTGTGTACGGCGCATGGTATTTTATTTTATTTATTAATACTGCTCACCTCGTGGAGGCGATAGCAGGAGTAAAACTGTACATATTTGAAAAAAGAAAAAGTGCCGTTATACACAGTTCAAAATCTCGGCAGCGCCTTGCTGCAACGCGACACAGACAAGCAAAGTGACTCGCGCATCCAATCCCATCGGAAAACTGTCGCGAATATAGAATGCATAATATACAATCAAGATGCAACTCACACGTACAACAACTATTTACTTTTCTAACCGATTTGGGAGAGGAATGAAGACAAGGTTGAACTATTCACTACGTCGGCTGGCAGGGAATTCCATTCTCTAACAGTGCGTGGAAAAAATTAATAATAAAATACATTGTTTTTAGCAGAAAATTCCCTTATTGACAGTTGATGGGATCGTCTTGTTAATCGTGGCTGAAAAAATGAGATATACTTGTTTTTGTTAATCTTTAGCTGGTCATTAATGATTAGATAGAAGAATTTTAATCGATCTCTCCGTCGTCTATTTTCAAGACTCTCGAGGTTGGCATTTTGCAGGAGCTGGCTGGGAGACACAGACCAGCTATAGGAGTTGTAGATAAACCTTACCGCCCTCCTTTGTATTTTTTCCAGTTTATTTTTGTTTACTTCGGTGTGCGGATCCCAGACCACTCCGGCATATTCCAGAATAGGTCGCACGTAGGTCTGGAATGCAGTCAGCTTCGCTGAAACACTGGAGCGCCCCAGGGATCGTCTCAGGTACCCTAGCTTTTGGAAAGCACGTCTTGAGATGTAGTCAATGTGATCGTTCCATCGTAGATCCGATGTAATGATCACCCCTAGGTACTTAAATGATTCAACTTTTTGCAGAGGTACGCCGCCTATTGAGTAAGAAAAATGTGAAATGGTTTTTTTTCGTGCGATGTTCATAAATACTGTTTTTTTCGCGTTTAGAGTCATTTGCCACTTCGCGCACCATAAGTTAATTTTTGCCAGGGAGGCATCGATGAGAAGGTGGTCTTCAGGGCTAGAAATTTCAGTGTAAAGAACACAATCGTCGGCGAAAAGGTTAATCTGGACTGGTATATCATCTAATATGTCATTAATGAATATAAAAAAAAGTAACGGTCCAAGAACGGATCCCTGAGGCACCCCAGAGTCAACGAAAACAGGTTCGGAAATCGATATATCTATGACAACCCCCTGTCGACGAAGTGTTAAGTAGTCACTAATCCAATTTGTAATCATGTCGTTCCTTAAGATTGCTTTCAGTTTTATTAATAACTTCGGGTGGGATACTTGATCGAAAGCTTTTGAGAAGTCCAAGAAGACCACGTCCACCTGGCCACGACGGTTTAAGACTTCAGAAAAATAATGCGTGGTTTCAACCAACTGAGTGGAAGTAGACAAAGCTTTGCGGAAACCGTGTTGCCGAGGATGCAGTAAGTTGCTTGATTCTAAAAAATGACAAATATGCGTAAATAATACATGTTCCAATACTTTCCCCGCAGTACATGAAGTGAAGGAGACCGTGATCAAGAACTGTTTCAGGAAGGCAGGCTTTGTACGGGTGGATGATGTAAACAGTGAAAACGAAAGTGACGTTCTGGTGGAAGAGAAGGAACCCTCTGACGTGACCGCATTGTGGGAGCACATCGCGGCATCAGAAGAAAACACAGGCGGAGCTGTGTTATTGGAGTATTTGAATGCTGACAGTGATGCTGCTTCCTGTGAAGAGACGAGCGAAGAAGCGATCGTCGAAGAACTGTTGTCTCGACGGGGAGCTGGTCTGAGCAACGGCGACGACGA